AAACAATCATGCACTGTCTGTTACCGTAGCATTCTGTGGCTTGGCAAGTTTATAAATACTTATCAGAATTTCTAGAAATAAATGTTTCCTCACAGTAAATTCATTGTGGCACAAAGCATGTTTACTATTGGAGCCAAATATCTTTAGTTCCTCTCTAAAAGAAGCCCGCAGTGGATAAACTTACATTGACTAATGTGTCCGTGTTTTGTTTTGTTTGGAGATGATCTAGATACTTATTCAGTGGCCTTGACTTAATTTATCATTTAACTTGACTTTGTTTGTTTGTTTCAAGTAGCTAAAAAAGTTTGGAGACAGGTTGCTGAGAAGTTGACAGAGAAACGTTATCTCCTTTGCATCTATTTAAATCATTTGTTCTTAACAATTACATTCAATTACCTATGAAAATTTCATTAGATATTAGACAAAGTCAGTCATCATCCCAAGTCATTTTTCTGGTTCACAGATATAGTAGAGATAACATGCACTTACTTGATTAGTAAACCCAGGTAGAAGAAAACTTGCACATCTGCATTATATTCAATGTTGATAACTCTGAAGACATGCTTGTGTTAATTAAGCCAACAACCTCAATCTAGTCGTTAGAAAAGATTATTTTAGATCACATGAACTTGAAAAAAGAGTTGGGGTTTTTATATTTTTTGAGAGTTTCAGGAATCCTTCCACAAAGACTTTAGAAGGCTATTTCTTTCCCTCTGGGTACAGTTTTATTTTAGTTTAGGGGAGAAGGCTTAAAAACATCCTATCAGGCTCTGAATAATAGCATCCAATTTGGCCATCTACTGAAAAAAAAATCCTATAAAATGTTTTGTCAGTTTTCACCTGGGACAAACAGTAAATATTTCTGGCAATCTTGAACAACCCCGTGGACACAAGAGGTGTCCCCAAAGAGGGTGCAAAAGATATTTTATTCTCCCCTCTCTACTGGGTGCCAAAGAGATTTGGGAGAGCTGACTCTGATAAGAATTTTCATCTTATCTGGCTTTTGTTAGTTTTTCCAGGATCCCGTCTGTAGGCTTCTAGTCGGGTTTAAAGCATGCACCAGAATTTGGCATGGCTTTTCATTATTTCTAATTTTTGTTTCCCCTTGGCTTATAAAGGGAATAACACCGCAGACAACCAGAAAATTTCTGAGCCGATACGGTGTCCTCCAAGAGTAGATAAGAGGTTGTCTGTAAGACAATTTGGCAGATTTGGTTTACTGTCATGTTCCATAGTCTTTTCAAAGTGTTCATCTATTGTCATGACATCAGTCTGTTTTCTGCCTTTTTATTAATTCATTAATCTTAGAAGATTATCTACAGAAACTTTTGAGGCTGTCCCCTTGGGTTTAGGACATTTTGAAACTATGGCCCTTAGTTTGGCCTTTCGCCAAGAAGTGAAAGCTAGCTGAACAGGATTACCTGGAGCCTTGGTGGTCTTATTTTAAAACTGTTTACTAGTCTTTTCAGAGTGAAAAGTGGATTTAAATAAAGGATCAATAGATTGAGTACTCAAGGGGTGGAGGAGAGCAGTGGGAGTTATGTCTGGCTTCAAGTTTTGTTTTTTTTTTTTTAAGGTATTATTTATTTATTTGACAGACAGAGACACAGCGAGAGAGGGAACACAAGCAGGGGGAGTGGGAGAGGGAGAAGCAGGCTTCCCGACGAGCAGGGAGCCTGATGCGGGGCTCCATCCCAGGACCCTGGGATCATGACCTGAGCCAAAGGCAGAAGCTTAACCGACTGAGCCACCCAGGTGCCCCAAGCTTCAAGTTTTTTGTTTTAGGTACCATTTGTACTTTTAATTTTTCATTGACTCTTTGCAATGAATCTTTCAACCTAGCTATTTTGGAATTTTGAGGACTTCAGAGGCTTAAACTAGATAACCCATTCTGTTTGTTTGATTTGGGAACACTTGCTTTTTAAGCCCACTTCTTCAATGATCTTATCTAATTGGAGCATTCCAATAATGGTCATTTTAAGTCCCCTGAGGGTTGTCAGTAGTTTGGTAGGACCCTAGCCACAAATGGAGTTCAAACCCACATTTGTGTCTGGCCATATTTTGGAGCCCCCAAACCTTATAGTTACCTAGCCAAGTTCTTAGGACAGAAAACAAGCTCAGTAAGGTTTTGCCATTTTTTTTTTAATTGATCTATAGCTTGTGGGACCATAGTTCTTAGACACCAAATAAGTAGGTATTCCAGAAGGTGGTGCACATAACTCTTTGGGTTTTGAGGGTTTTTTTTTTTTTGAGAAGTCTTTGGCTGTCTTCTATAGAACCCAACTAATACCTAAGAGGGATGTGTCACTGGGTTGGAGACCGTGTGGTGTTTTACATTGTACCTTGTTGCATGGAAATTTTCTTGAGGTTGGCAGGTGACCTAGTGTCAATCTTACCCTCTTCCATCAACTTACCCTAACATGGAAGTCTCTGAGTTAGGTGGTGAGCGCTGTAACAGCTTTGAAGTGCTTGATCCATGCCATCAGTTTTGTGGCTTTTTGTGTTTCTTTTGTGTTTTGTTTTTGTTTTTTTGGTCTTTCAAGATTCCCATGAACAATACACCCTTTACTTAAAACAAAATTTTATTCACCCAAGGCCTTGCACTGGAGCCAGGACAGCTTAAGTCAGGTAAAGTCCAGCTTAAATCGGACCCAGTCCAGTCCTGGGCCCAGTCTGTTTTTTTAAGTTGGACTCAGTCTAGTAATGACAGGCGTTACCCGGTGTGGAATCTGGGAGCATTGGGGAGAGAATTTGGGGAGAGATTCCAGTCAAATGAGGAATTGTGGAAGCTAGTTAGATCAAAAGTTCTATGCCAAGAGAGTGGACCTCAGAACCGAGAGGAACTCATTCACAGCCCTCCCCTTGGAAATGGTGAGAAATACAACTCAAAAGTTTTCTCGGATACCATGCCTGCCTTTCTCCTTCCTCGTCCCCAGTGCCCTTGGAAGTCTCCTTCCGATGCTGCTACTGCCACCGAATCTGTGAAACAGCAAAACGCAACGGAGTAACTTTCGAAATCAAATTGGCTTTATTGAAGGATTTGTGAATCGGGCAGCATCCTGTCTAGAAAATGGAAAGGAGCTCTGGAGAGCCATAGAAAAGGAAAGGTTTTTAAAGGCAGAAAGGTTGCAGGAAAAGGAAGTTTATTATTAACACAGGGCCTGGTTTCAGGCGGGGTTGCCGTCCTGTGGGGGGACAGAAGGGGTCTCCTAGACAGATTTTCTCACTTGGCGCCGATCAGGTAATCCCAGATCACCTAGTTAAAGATTACATTCTTGGAAGAGGCTAAAACTGCAGTTGGATGATGCGGTAAGTGTTTTTTTGCTGATGTGGGGCTTGGCGTAAGTGACTCCATTTTGGGTCTGTTGTCTCTTTTTTAACAGTATGTTATAAATGCATAAATAGATGTTGGATTGGGAGTAGACTGGAAGTATCTCATTGGTATGGGCTTTATTTCTTTTAAAATAAGTGTCATCATTGATTTTATGTTCCACTCAGTTGCAGGATAAATGGGGCACCCAGTGCCCAGGCCCCTCCCATGCTCAGTTCTCTGTCTGCACTGAAGTTCCACCAGGTGCCTTCTTGCTGTCTGTTGTAAGTTCTTTTTAATTTAAACTAAAGGTTTTTGGCAATCAGAACAAAGGTTTTGCAACTGAACGGAAGGCTGTTAAACTGTTCATAGTCTTGTTGGCCAGCAGTTGGGCTGTTTGTAATGTTTTTTTTTTTTTGAGAACTCAAAGGATCTTCAAGAGGGTAAGGTTGGCACATTACTGCTCTTGCTGAATTCTGCGTTATGTGCTAAATTTTGGTTAGAGATACCTTTGGTCGTGAATTAAAGGAGATGATGGGTTTCGCCTGAAGAACTGAAGTGATCACAAAGCAAATACGTTTTGATAGGTCAGTGGGCCTTGAAGTACCTGGATCGCATTTGGTATTCAGAAGGCTTTCCCTTCACAATGAAGCTAAATGAAGATTTAAAAATTCATATTATAGCTGTAAGAGAGAACTCAAAGGGAAGGGTGTTTTGGTTAGAACAAATGAGTTTGAAGTGAATAAATACGACTGCTAATTTTTCAAAGCTGCTCTCCTTTTCATCCCTACACCCTCCTTCTCAGTTTGATTATTCTTCACTGTGACTATTCTAGCTCAACCACTGAGCTTTTTTGCCTCCTGGGAATCCTCATTGTCAGCTAGCACTGTTAAGAAAAATGTGCCTACAAGGGCATGTAGGCCTATTCCAATAATGCCATATGAATGCAGCTTTTACAGTTTCAAAATGTATTGATTATATTTTGTGTTGTATATAATGATTTTAGAAAGCAGATATTTAGGTTGTGGAATTGGCTTATTATGTTAACCAGAGAGCAGATGGCATGGTGCCACAGATGTATAATTTTACTTAAAGGGACTTTTAAGGTTTTGATGTGTTTTCTTTTCCTCTTATTTCCCTGATGGCTTCTTTTTATTGAAGGGTAACTTAAGGAGACCTGGTAGCAATTTTACTGCCTTCCCCTGACAGTTTGAAATAATAGCATGGTCTTTGGTTGCACTGATCTTCCACCAGTCAACTTGATTCTGGTTTTTGTCATGTGGCAGTGAATTAAAAAAAAAGTGTTTGTAGTATGTTTTAAGAAATGGACTCTTTTATATGCTTCAATTAGCAACAGACGACAAAGTTCCAATTGCTCACACTTTCATAAACTTCTAGAAGTCACAATCGTCCTTTTGATTAAAGAAAACTGGTTTGGTTTCTTAGGAAAAGCACATCTGGCCCTCTGGTTCCTTTAGGTACACCTTTTTGTCATTCTTTCGCCTTTAGTCACTGAAGGTTCAAAGGTCGTGTGTGAGTTTTTCCTAGTTAGGTTAGCAAGCTTTCCCCTTTCTGGAGTGCTGTACTTTTTTTTTGTTGCTACACCCACTGCATGTTGGAATTCACTTGGCCTAAAAATACCATTTATTTCTCTGCCTAGATTTTACAGTTTGACCCATTCTTCTCTTAGAACATCATCAGGATGAGTTGGAAAGCATCTCCTCACTTTTGTTTTGCAAAGTGTGCGAAGCCAGACCAGATGACTTTTGGATTTCCTGTCACCTCCTTGGCTGATTTTTATGGATGGCTCATGTTAAAAGCAACAGTAATGTTTGAATTGGAAGGCTTGAAGCTTTGGGTTTTCATTCTTCATGGAGAACTGTTTATTTGTGTGTGGTTCACCGCAGTACATGGATAATGCTATCAAATCTGTGCTTTATTATAGGCTTAAGACTAGTACAGCAGCCCTTCAGTTCTGCTTTCTGTGTTTTCGTTCCTTGCCAATTCTTTTGTGATGGAAATGAAATTAGAACTGAATCTCTGCAACCAAGGGGAAAATAGGCACAACAAACAGAAACTGTCCCGTGAGCCAGTTTAGAAGCAAGCAGCGCTGATGGAAGAATATATGTTCAATTTTTTTTTTTTTTAAAGTATAGAAAAGTACTTCAGTTTCACTTTTCCGTGGAGATCTCTGGCCAGTGAGCCCAGCACTTTGACAAACGAAGGGCTTTCCCCCCTTTATGCTGTTTCCCATCTTCAGTAACTGATTGGAAAGCGATTCACATTCCCAAAACTTCACACTGCTTTGAAGGTGGAATCCGAGTTAAGTAATATTGTTTTCTTCTGCTCCCCAAAGGGAACAACCTGATTTAAAAAACAGCAATCGAGCCTTTCCGCATCAAACTCCATTTGGCCACTTGTCTCCATTTACATTCCTTGCCCGAATCCTTCACCAGCCTTTCCATGATGCCGCAGCAGATGCCAGACACTGAAGGAGAAAGCGAGCAGCTGTTTCCATTACTCCATTGCTGGATTATCCTCCACAATCTGCTTGCTTTCTTCCCCCCCCGTCCCCCCCCCGACTTTAAAGAAAAAAAAAGAAAGAAAGAAAGAAAGAAACCTTCTCGCCCGCCGACTTTTTGCTTGCTCCAGTTTATCAGGCTGCAGGTTTTCTATCTTATCAGGACCACTGATTTGCTCGAAAAGGCCGGTTTATTGTTCATGCCTGCAGCAGATGGGAGCGCCCGGGCCCGGGGGCGTGGCCGCGCGCGCGTGTGGTGTGTGTGTGTGTGTGTGTGTGTGTGTGTGCGCGCGCGCGTGGTGTGTGTGTGCGCGCGCGCGCGCTCCCGGCGGGGTGGAGGTGGCGGGGACGCGCCGCCCGGAGCGCGCCTTCCCTCCCGCCCGGCACCCGTTTATAGCCCTGAGCGCTGTAAATCTGTCAGCTCTTCGCGACGCCCTCACCTCTTTCTTCATTTGCTCCAGCTTCTAGTTTGACAACGTTCCCCCGAGGCGGAATTCTAATCTGCTTCCAATTAGTTGCAAAATGTGACTGAAATTTCCACATTATGACTGTTGTTTTACTTGCACGCACACATCTCGAAACAAATTAATGCTCTTGAATATTTATTTTTTGAGCCCTTGGATTTACTTTAAGAGGAAGAGTTCCCAACTGTTGGAATGGCTTCCAGGATTTGCTTTTTTTGTTGTTGTTGTTCCCCCTCCAAGCCTCCTGTATTGGGTTTATTTAAAAAAAACAACAAAAAAACACAACAACTATGGTGGGGTCTCCCCACCTCTTGATAAGCCTTTTCCATTTTTTCAAGATTTCTCCAGATGTATTACATATGTTTGTTATGAAAATAAATTTTGTAGCATTTCTAAAATAAACAAAACAAGGTTGTTGGCCTAAGTTTAATAGAGGGGTCCTGGTGTGGTGTTTTAATACAACACAGGTACGCACAAATACACTTCTACATTTAGCTTAAGTCTATTTGGCCAAAACCCTAAAGACTTGTTACACACTTTTAATTTTTTTCATTTGATATTCAAAAGTTATGAACCCCAGATAAACGAATTGGGTGATTGATTAACTGGCTTAGCAAATACCGGCCAGCATTAAAGATGTCACCTTGGGCGGTGATGTTATCTGGCAAGTTTGTGCCTAGATCCCAAGCCTGTCCTGGAAGCTGATGGAACTTTGGGGCTGCAGTAGGCATAGTCAATAAGGCTTCTTGTGAGTTTAGTACCCTTTCTCCCTGAACATCATCCACTGTGAGACCATATGCTGGACTCCAGGCTCTGGGATTGTTCTCCTTTGAAGGAAGATCATTACTCCCAACCCCATTTACTCCTTTTCAGTGTTTTTTTGTTTTTTAAAAACAAAGATATTGACTCCCCTGATTATATGTAAATATTGGAGGTGTTTAGATCTTGGTTGCTGAGAAGGTCAAATTTAGCTTTATTTATTACTTGCCTTACAAGCTACTTCCTCATATATTGGTGAATTAGTACCAAGGCAGTGGGTCTCTGGCTTTGTATTTACAGAAAGATGGTACTTTTAAGCAGTGTAAACTGGTGTATTTTATAGTCCTCAGCATCTTGGCAGATTGATGTCAACAATAATAATGAGTTTTGAAGTGTGCAGAATTTTACTGATGGTAAAGTGGTTATGTTGATCACATTACTTTGTGTTACTTTTAAATAACACCTTCACAGGGGCGCCTGGGTGGCTCAGTCGTTGAGCGTCTGCCTTCGGCTCAGGTCATGATCCCAGGCTCATGGGATCGAGCCCCGCATCGGGCTCCCTGCTCAGCGGGAAGCCTGCTTCTCCCTCTCCCACTCCTCCTGCTTGTGTTTCCTCTCTCGCTGTCTATCTGTCAGATAAATAAATAAAATCTTTAAAAAAAAAAAAATAACACCTTCACATGCAAATAGATCAGTTTTTTTCCCCCCAACATCATTGTCACATATAATCATAAAAGCCCTACATTAATTTATCGTGTCCTTTGGGTACATACTATTTTCTATCTCTGTAATCCGGTGGTGGGGCATTAATTTCACTTTGTCTAAAACAAAATTTATTTTAACATTTACTGTATATGGAGTATATGTAAGTTATTTTATATAAAAACTTTTAGCTATGGCAGAATGGCACAAAAGAAGTAGGATCGCTCTTTGTATTGCTTCTTTTCTTCCTACTCTCTGGCTGGTTGTTGAAAACATAGCCAGATTGAAATCCTTAAAAATTTAAAATGTGGGCCTTTCAGACTGTAGAGACCTCCTGGGTTAAAAAAAAAAGAAAAGAAAAGAAATTAGTGGCCCCATAGTGAAATGCTCACAATAGGCACGATTGTGCTAGCCCCTCAAGTCCCGGGGTTCACTAATTACCCATTAATGAGGTCAGTCTGCCCAGGCTTTTTCCCTACCTTGGGAGGAGAAGCACACAAGACAGTTGGAGTTCAAGTGGATCTTGCTGTATTTGCAACTTAGCATAAATGCTTTGAAGGCCCCCAGGGTGCTTAATTGGGGCTGGGCATTTTTGTTTTGGGGGAGACTACACACAGCTCCCCATTGTGCATGTAGAAGCCACTGTGCATCTTGGAAGCATTACATGCTTTTGTTGATGGTGCATAGGTTTATAAACTCCAAATGAGCTTATTGCCTTTTAACCATTGGGAGCACTAAATAATGGAGGAACCTAGAAGTCTCTGGATTGGGTAGCCGCCAAGCAGTTTAAAAAAATAAAAAAAGAATGAATGGTTTAATTGTAGAGCAAACCATTTGTTTACAGATTAAGATTTATTAGGTCACCAAATCCTATGGACCAGGAGGTGAAAGAATGAGGCTGTAAGGTGTAGGGCTTGAATGCCCAGTGTTCTGTATTGTGATCCTGCTCAGCTGTTTTTACCCCTGTTTTTCTCAAAAGAAGAATGAATTGTTGAATGGTGAGAACTGCCTGGCCAAGTGTACTTTTTAGCTAGAGAGAGAGAGGGAGAGAGAGGGGCGGCAGGGAGAGGGAGGTTATTTCTTTGCTGTCTTGTTCAGAAGCTAAAAACTTAAGTTTCTTCCAACGGAGAGAGAGGGACAATGGCTCTTGGTGAATTTTCCTGTTTGCTTTGATGAGGAGGAATGGTGGTGGTCTTGGTGGTGGTGGAGGAGGAAGGGGGTATAAAGTGGAAAGAAGGTATGTGGCAAAGCGGGTGGTGATTGGAAAACCTTTGTGAAAACAGCCGTAGACAATGCATTCTCTTGAATAATTGGGACCGGTTACAGAAATTCCCTATTTCTTTCCTTAGTGGCCATGGTGCTCAATAGAGGGGAACTCTCCAGCAACGGCAGTGAAGTGGTACGGGAATTTTGGGGGGACACGCTGTTTGCCCGGCAGCCAGAATGTTAGGATGTCTCTTTTGCTTTTAGGACTGGATTATATTCAACAGTAGAAGACCAGAAATCATGGCGTTTGTTCCCATTGTGGTTGCAGATTGTTCTCCTAATGCTTTTATGAATCATAGGCTTAAGGAAATCACTAGTAAAGTGTTGTTTTCTGAAAGTATCATTTTGAACTTCAACTCCTCCCTGCACTGTTTTTATTTTTGCATTCATTTTCTTGGGAGTGAAACCCTTTTATCTCAAAATGCTCTTTTGTATATAAACTGTCAACGTAATAACAACTCAGGATACTTACAAGTACTGTTGCTACATGATGTCTTTGTGTTCTGTTTGGCCATGAAAAACGCATTCCTTCTAGAACGTGAAAGTTATTTGTTATTTGATGCATATATGAAAAATTGAACTTTACACTAAATTGGCTTCGTGTGATCTTGGGGTTTTTGTTTTTGTTTGTTTTGTTTTGTTTTTTCATTTTTCTCCTTACTAAGTTCTGGTGCTACTACTTTGGTATCATGATCACTTTATTTTTTAAAGATTTTATTTATTTGAGATAGAGAGTGAGAGCTGGGAGACAGGCAGAGGGAGAAGCAGATTCCCTGCTGAGCAGGGAAGCCTGATGCAGGACTCGATCCCAGGACCCTGGGATCATGACCTGAGCTGAAGGCAGACGCTGAACCGACTGAGCCACCCAGTCATCCTATCATGGTCACTTTAAAAAAGGCTTGATTTTTGAGTCGAAATCATGGCTGAAGGCTTCATTTTACAGCTCTTTCTCCTTCGGGGTGGTGGGGGGTGGTGGTGAGCAACAGGAGGAAAAGAGGGTAAAAGGTCAAAGTGGTTTCAGTCTTGTCAAACTGGTGACTTTTCATTGCGCTGTTGTTCATTCCGGATGCTTTTCTATTAATATTTTCTATACTAGCGAGCCTGGATTTTACTTCTCGGAGCATCCCACATAATTTTTAAAACTTTAAACTTTGAAATCAAAGAAGTTACCACTGTCACAATCACCAAGTGGATTACATTTGTGTGAAGATGTTTTTTAAACTAATGGAAAAAAAAAAATTACGTTTTACTAAAGCGGTAAATCCCTGCAAATGCTCCCCTAAATTTGATTTCTTTGGGTGTTGTTTGGCTGTGAATATGTGCTCCACCTGAGTTTACTTAGCAAACCAAGACAAAAGCGCAAAGATTAAAC